AGCAGGAATTCACTTAGTTGTCACACTGAGTTTCTTGTTTGATTTCCAGCAAAATGGCTTGAAAAGTTGGTATTGGGAGCATCTATTGCCTTGTTTTAGAAACAGGCTATCAGAAGTGCTAGTCACTGATTTTAGTCAGTTTGTATTAGTGTTTTTCATTATTTGTGTATCTGTAGGTAGCCTGGGAATGTCTGTTTCATCGAGAGAAGAGAATGGGAATCGATTTAGTTCATGATGAAGTGGAAACAGAGTTGCTGATGGTAAATATGGGGCAAACCCTTCAATAACAAGAAACCTCATTGCAAACGTGCGTATTAATGTATAGAAACAGAAAATGATGTTATGTAAAGACACAGTAAGGAGTTATAGTATCAGATATTTATGGTATTTAGAAAAGATACATTTTGTTGTGTTAGTTTCTGGTGTACAGCAAAGTGATTCAGTTATACATACATACATACATATATATATATATATATGTATGTATGTATATTCTTTTTCATATTCTTTTCCATTATGGTTTATTACAAGATACTGAATATAGTTTCCTGTGCTATACAGTAGGACTTTGTTGTTTATTTTATTTTTTAGAAAAGATACATTTTGGGGGGGTTATGAAAATAATAGATATTTATTGAGAGAATTTGAAAAATGCAGTAAAGATAAAAATCACCTAAGTTCAATTAGACAGAAATGACTATTAATGTTAGAGTATTTCAGTCTTTTTAATAATCATACTTAGGTAGATACCACCCAACTTAAAGACACACAGACATATCTTCCAGATTAGAATTATAGTGTATCTATGCATTTGAATAGTGCTTTTTTTGTTGGATAAATGCCCAATGATGTTTATTCTTAAATGTAGATGTGGAAAGGCAGTGCTGTGTTTTTTTAGAAGACAATGTTTTAGAGCACTTTTAGGTTCACAGCCAAATTGAGGGGAAGGTCCAGAGGTTTCTTCCCATGTGGTGCCTGCCTCCACACATGCATCGTATTGATAACTGTATGTATTTCTGATCATTTCCTTAGGATACATTTCCAAAACTGTAATCCACGCATCAAAGGGTATATGCATTTGGACAGCTTTTGATAAGCCATCCGGGAGCTTACCTCCTAGGCTCTCTCCCACAAGATCTCTGCCATTCCTTAAGATTTCAGCCCTTAGGTACCTGGGACCCTTCCCAGTGATGAGTGAGAATTTGAGAATGTCGTCATCAAAACACACTGTCTATAGAAATGGGGTGCTTGCTCCTATAGGTGACATTTGCCATTATCCAGATTCCATTTGGACTTATAGTTTGATTTTTAAAGTGTGATTTCAGTAGCCTTTTCTACCTGTTAAGAGTGTGATAGTTTACCCACTTACCCCAAACTTAAAAAGGCTCAGTTAAGCCTTTAAGTTTGTATGTATCTGTGGATACATAGAACCACAGGAAGCAGGGTCTGGGTTTAACAATGAGGTCCCAGAAATGATCGTATATCCACAGTTCAGGGTATAGCCGAGAGTTAGCACACATCCATGTGTGTGGTCAGAACTCAGAGTTCTTGTGACCTGGCCAGTATTCCTCAGCCAAGAAGAGGGTGGAGGCCACATCGCACATGAGGATTAAGTTCTAAATCATACTTTATGACCCATATCGCATTATAAGTCCTACCCTTTAGTGAGAGCGTACCATCTGCGAGGCACATAATTATCTACCCCACAGCCTAGAAAGGCAGGTGTTATTACCCTTTGTTTATAACTTGCCTTTGCTCCCAGCATTTGCAAAGGCAGCATTGGACCTGGGCTATCTGGTGCCAGAGCACGTCTTTAACCGCTATTCCACCCAAGACCCAGGGGGGTGAGGCAACCAGCGGGGGGGGGGGGGGTG